AAAGGAGTGGGAAAGACTGTGAGGCCAGGGGCATGTCTGCAGTGGAGGCCCTCCCCTTACGGACACGGTGGGAGCAGCAGCACACAGCAAGCGTGCTCACTCCTGCCTCTCGGCTCGGCCGGGTGTGTGCACGCGGTGCGCCTGTGTGGACAGGGCAGGGTCACTCACTTCTCTTGCAGTAACTGTCTTTACAGTCCTGTGATGCCTTCCCATTTTCAGAATTTGAAATCCACACAAACATGTTGTTTAGTTAGCCAAAGCTTGGCCAGATGTTCTGACGGTGCGCCTGTGTGGACAGGGCAGGGTCACTCACTTCTCTTGCAGTAACTGTCTTTACAGTCCTGTGATGCCTTCCCATTGTCAGAATTTGAAATCCACACAAACATGTTGTTTAGTTAGCCAAAGCTTGGCCAGATGTTCTGTGTTTGAAGTTTGTTGTTGGGTCTCTTCTGACGAACTCCACAGGCCAGCTGTTGCTGGAGGGGACAACAGTTCTTTATGCTACAGGTGCACAGCTCACTTTACTGCCAACTCAGGTTTCTTTTCAGAACAAATTGCCGTAGAGAAAGGGGGAAGCAGATATCTGGGCCCCAGGCTTTAAGAGAGGAAAAAACATGACATTTAAGAAGATACAATGGACAGCTGGAGGAGGGGACAGAGTCCAGTAGCATGCAGAGCACTGGGACTCCTTCCAGCGTGGTGTTTTCTCCTCACTGTGCACTGTGACCTTGACAAGGTGTTTCACTTCTCTGGTCCTTAAACTGTTCAGCTTAAAATAGGGTCTAGGACCTGTTTCATCTAATGTCAAATTATGTCACTTTCTGCTCAGTGACCCCCAGTGGCTCCTCACTTCCCTCAGAGTAAAAAACACCCAAACTCTCTCTGTGGTCTCTTAGGCCTCATCCCTGACCACCAGACGTTTCCTATTAGCCTTGACTAAACAGCCCTCGAGCTCCGGCCTCAGGGTCTCTGTAGTCCCTGTTCCTCTGCCTGGAACCTCCGCCCCTGTACGGGCGCCCCTTTGACTCTATCACGTCTTTATTGTGAGTCCTCCCCTGGCGACTCCCCTCTCCTCCCTATACACAAGTGCAAATGTTCCTTGCCCTACTTTATTTTTCTCCACAGCACTTGTCACCCGTTCACATACTATGTCTTTATTTTGTTTATTTTCTATGGGAAAAAAACATTGGAAAGGCCATTTTTAATGATGGAGGGAAATAAAACACAAACTAAAGTTGATCAAATGAGGAAAAAAATACTTTAAAAAATTAAATTGCTCACATGAAAAGGAGATAGGACAAAAATTCATAGTAGTTGCAATTTTGATAAACCCAGTATATAATTTCTTATTTTTCAAAAGATTTTAAGGTAGGGAAGCAGAAATTTTAAAAAATGGCATTGCAAATAAGAAATTAATTTCGTGGGAAGATTATGTGCTCAGTTTTGAGATAGTAGCAAAATATTTTTATGACCTTGGAGTGATAATATTCATTCTAATTTATAATTTGGTTTTTCTGGCAGCTGGATCATGAATCTAATTGGACGGTATCACACAGTTTCAGGATCAGAAAAGACAACCCCACGATGGGAACAGGACTACCATCTGCAGCCCATGGGCAAACTGGGATTATTTTATGAATATCTTGAAATGAGTAAGTTGTTAGTGAAGTTTTAAGTGGTATAAAATATATGGGAACATATTTTGGATCCCAAAAGCATCTGTTATTGAGCCAAATGTAGAGTATTGAAGGGGAGTACGTTTTTCTCCACTAGATAAAATTGTACAATCAGGCTTTCAAATAAGGTGGCCGTGTGTGTCTTTGTCAGTATTTATGTTGTACAAAGCTGAAGATTTATTACCATGCAATGAAATGGAATATTCATTGAGGTACAGCTTCACCATTAATTCTCAAAGCATTCTAACCATGTTGTCTGAGAATCAACTCAGCAACTACTGTTAGAAGTGATTCAGCTTGGGCTGGAGCCCATGCAGGCACAGCTGTTGGCCAGTACACTTCCAAACCAAGCCATTTAAGAAAGCCTGTAGGAGCATGCTGCTTTGGCAGGAATGATCACAGCATACCCCCTTTTACATCTCATGCCTGCCTCTGATAGCATATCTGTTTCTTCTGGCTCAAAGTTTCTGTCTGGTTCTTTCAGTGACCCTATGGCTAATCACTGACTTGAACTGGGAACCATCCTGCTGGTCTGGAATTAAGATTTAGCACAGGTCCCCTCCTTCCTGAATGTCTTTGTCCATTTTTGTATTATTTGCATGGGTTCTGTTTCTTTTCAGTTGAACTTGATTTTGAGCTCTCAGTCGCCTTTAATTGGATGCATCTCAAAATAGATTTCCATAGGAAACATCATCTTTTCTATTATGCATGACATGCTTACATCTAATAGATGGCTAACAATTTATATGTTTTGTATCTATGCCCTTTCATCTAACCACTGCATTGAATTACATTTTTTTTAAGCTTAGGAGAATAGAAAGAGGCATAGAATTTGGGTTGATAGTCCTTGCATTTATGCATAGGGGTTTGTGTGTTTGCAGAGACAACCCTTTGTGGTTTCTCTTTACAAGTCAGCAGATAGAAGGAGATTTTTATTAAATCATATTCCATATGTAAAATAATTGCTTTTGAAAATATAAATTATACATGGAAACACATCTGCTTCCCTTGGTGAGTAAAAAGTTCATCTTGTGGCTTCTTCAGTCAACAATACTTTGCAGCAGCCTGGAGTCTGATTTGAATTTCATTTTTGCTTTTGTTATGTTTCATGATAGGTTTTATTAAGGGTGTAGCCACAGTATATATCTAGAAGCTATATTTATTTATTTATTCTGTTTATTTTCAAAATGACTACAAGACAATTACCTGTTATTCTAAATGAGTCATAATTATAAATATTTCTTATTGGAACTATTATCAGCATTAATAACAACAACATCCTGGGGCAGAATCTCATTTATTATTTTAGCACCAAAAAGGAAAAAAAAGTTATTTTTCTGTATTTGATTAGTCAAATAAATGATGTTGAGAGGAAACGTTATCTGGTTGTGCTTTGAAGAGAAGTTGATATGACTTTTAGAGTTTCATAAACTCATTAAAGTAGTTATCAACCAAATAGCTTGGCCTCATCCTACTCTATAAAAAAGAATAGAATAACATCTGTTGTAGACAGATTTTTAGATTAAATTGTTTTCCTATTATCCAAGTAATACTTAATGACTTAGAAAACTTAATTTCTGAGAGTAAGTTGTCTGTTAACTGTGTATTTAACAGTAGACTGAAATTTGCTCTTTGTTCTTCTAATCTTTTGAAGATAGAATTTCCCAGTATCTTTTGAATTACTTCTATTTCTCTAAAAATAAATATTGATTGCCTTTGGTAATAGTCTCACCACCTCACACCCTCCTTCCCATTTTCCCCATATTTGTTAATGATAGTGCCATCTACCTTTATAAATATGGCTCCCGTTTTTATAAGGGAAATATCTTCTGACAAACAACCCTGAAGCCGTCCATCCTTACCTGGGCCTGGCACTCAGCCACCAGCTCTTTTCCTTTCTTTTGTACCTGATGAATCCCTGCTGAGCCTCAGCTTGTTCCTCACCTTTTCACACAGCTCTGCTGCTCTTTTCTTCTAAGCATTAGCACTTGATACCTGCCTCGGTGGTATATAATTGTAAGCATGCCTCTCTCCCCGCTGGGCTGAACCTGTTGGAGGTAGCTACCAGGTCCTCTGCATCTTTCAGTCCTCACCTACAGCACTAGTGTGTGGAACCTGGTACTCCTAAATTTTTACATGACTTCAGCTTAGAGCTTCAACATACATGTACAACTGTTAGTTGATTTCATATTAACATTGTCCCACCCACTCCCCACCAAGTTCTGTGTAGCCTGGCTTTTTAAATTTCATTTATTTAGTGAATTTCCCACCATCCTTTGAGATTTTAGAATAACCCTGGGGTGTTAACCAAAACTGCCACCCAGAGTGTTTGGTCCTAAGAACTGAGATACAGAATGTAAGAGAAATAGTCTGTCAGTATTAAAATCTGAAAGCCATAAGATACGGTTTTGTACTTAGAGTACTACACAGCACAGACACAGGTCTCTCAAGAACTTGGTGATTCCTTCCACTGGGCAGGTGCCATAAATGAAGTACACAGCCTGGTACTGCCTCTTCCACCCTTGCCATGTCAACATGACCTTACCTTCTTCCATCCCCAAATTAATTTTTAAAAATTCTTTAAAACATCCCACCTTCCTCAACCAACAGCACCAGTGTGCCCAGTGACCTCACCAGCCCTGAGAAGTAACCCCGCCTGCTTGACTGAAGGCAGCAGTGCTGTGCAAGCAGTCCACAACAGCTGCCACCACAGACGTGGCTTGCTGCCACACCAGCAGCCACTGCCATCTAATAGGCAGCCCACTGACCACTCATCATCCTAGACAGAAGGAGAGTCACCAGTGGAGCCTAGAGAAAGAGGAGGAAGTCTTTCTCCTCGAAGCCCACTCGGGAGTAATAGAGGAAGCAACTGTTCTACCAGATGACTAGACAGCAATGTAGAGATACTAGAAATACAAAAACCAGGAAAACATGACACCACCAAGGGAATATAATAATTCTCAAGTACCCCATAGAGCAGGAAGACCTTGAAATGACTGAAAAGGAATTCCAAACAACAATATTAAGTAAACTCAGTGAGATACAAGATGACTCACATGACCCAATGAAATGAAAAAGTGCTTAGATCTGAAGGAGAAAATGTACAAAGAGATTAATGCCTTAAAAAAGAATGTAGCAGAACTTCTGGAATTGAAGGATTCATTCAGTGAAATAAAAAAACACAACCAAGAGCTTGAGCAGCAGATTAGAGCAAGCAGAAGAAAGAATTTCTGATCTTGAAGATGGTCTTTTCTAAATAACGCAGGTGGACAAAAAAAGAAAAAAATATAAAAGACAAAGAAAATCTAAGAGAGCTAGCAGACAAGCTGAAGTGTACAAACATCCAAATCATGGGTGTTCCAGAGGGGAAGAGAAAGGAAAAGGCATTGAAAAACCTATTCAATGAAATAATAACAGAAAACTTCCCAGGTATAGGGAGAGACATGGACCTTCAGATCCAAGAGACTCAAAGATCTGCAAACAGATTCAATCCAAAATGTCCTCTTCGGGCCGGCCCGGTGGCGCACTGCTACAGTGCACCGTTGGGAAGCGCGGCAGCGCTCCCGCCCGAGGGTTCGGATCCCACATACAGACCGGTTCCCGCGAGAAGATCTTAAAAACAGCAAGATAAAAGTGTCAAGTCACCTACAAGGGAGTCTCCATCAGATTAACAGCAGAATTCTCAACAGAAACCCTAAAGTCCAGAAGAGAATGGGATAATATATTCAAAATACTAAAAGGAAAAAAGTACCAGCCAACAGTACTATACCCAGCAAGGATATCCTTCAGAAATGAGGGGGAAATATTATATTTCCCAGACAAACAAAAACTGTGGGTGTTCACCACCACATGACCAGCCCTATAAGAAATCCTCAAGGGAATCCTGCATCTGAAACCTGAAAAACAATAATTTTACCATGTATATACAGGAAAAAACAAAACCCACTAGTAGAACAAAAATGCAAACGCAAAAGAGAAAGAAACCTTATCCAACCACCTCAAGAAACCAACAAATATGGAAGACAATAAAATGGTAAGAAAGAAACAAAAGATATTTAAAACATCCAAGTGAAAATCGATAAAATGCCAGGAGTAACTACCTTTCAGTAATGACCCTGTAAGTAAATGGATTAAATTCCCCACTGAAAAGACTCTGACTGATTGGATTAAAAAGCTAGACCCAACTATATATTGTCTTCAAGAAACTCACCTATAAAGACACACACAGACTAACAGTGAAGGGTTGGAAAAGATATATCATGCAAATGGAAACCCAAAACTAGCAGAAGTAGCCATTCTTATACCAGATAAAATAGACTTTAAGCCAAAACCCATAAAAAGAGATCAAGAAGGCCACTATATAATAATAAAGGGACCTATCTGCAAGAAGACTAACAATCATAAATATATATGCACCCAACACTGGAGCACCCAGATATACAAAGCAAACAGTATTACACCTAAAGAAAGAGATAGACAACAATATGATAATAGTTGGAGACCTGAACACCCATCTCTCAGCATTGGACAAATCATCTAAGCAACAAATCAGCAGAGAAACACAGGATTTAAATAATACTTTAGATATCTGCCAGGTCCAGTTGGTCTATAGAACATTTCATCCAACAACTACAGAATATACATTCTTCTCATCAGCACGTGGAACATTCTCCAGGATAGACCACGTTAGGTCATAAATTGAGTCTCAGCGAATTTTAAAAAATTGAAATCATTGCAAGTTATTTTTTCAGACTGCAGCAGATTAAAACTAGAAATCAAATGAATAACAAATGAAACTCTGGAAACTATACAACCATATGGAAATTAAATAACGTGCTCTTGAATGACCAGTGAGTCCAAGAAGAAATAAAATAGGAAATCAAAAAATTTCTTAAACTAATGAAAATAAAGACACATCATATGAAAACCCGTGGGATACTGCAAAAGCAGTACTAAGAGGGAAGTTTATTGCAATA